CAAAGGGTGTTTGTGCAAAATGAAGCTTTCAGAGAACCAGACACAATACTAATTTCAGAGGATAACATGGAGCACTTAGAGGTGTCTCGAGGCGAAGTGGATGAAAATCTTCATGGATCTAAGTAAGAATAAAGCAGTTGGTCCAGATGGAGTTTTACCTTGGGTTCTGAAAGCATGCCTATCTGAACTCAACACTCCACTTCAACTGATTTTTCAATCATCCTTGTGTACATGAGTTTTGGTAGATATATATGGGTAAAAGCCAACATTGTTCCAATCTTCTACATTGGCAGCAAGGAAGAGGGAAACTGTCCCCTGAGGACCACATAAAGAACATCGTGCGAGGAGCATATGCTACGCTTTCCAACCTTTGAATCATTGAATTGAATCCATTTCCAATCATTTGAATCGTTCGTGGATCTCGAAATATTAACAAAATTTGTCACAATCTTTGTTAGACCAAAGTTAAAATATGCAGCGGTTGTATAGTGCGCATATCTCAAGAGCCATCACTAAACTGGAAAAGTTGCAAAGACATGGAACTAATTGGCTCCCGGAACTAAAACACAATAGCTACAAGGAGAGGTTAGAGGTTAGAGGCGTTAAATATATCAAAGCTAGAAGATAGAAGAAAAATGGTAATATAACCACTATGTACAAAATAGTAACAGGAAACGACAAAACTGACATGATTTTTTTTTAAAACGGCAAAGTTCAAGAACAAGGGGACAGGTTCAAACTAAGGAAGCAAAGCTGTCGAAAAAAAGTTCACTTTTGCAAACTGAATTGTAGACTGTTGGAAGAAGTTAAGTGAGAAGGAAGCCAAAACCGTCAGTAGTTTCAAAGTGTCATATGAGAAAGAGTTATGGGAAGACGGGACACTACGAGCGTAGCTCTCAACACACACACACACACTCACAAACACACACTCTCTCTCACACACACTGACTTAATATGTCTTCAATCCCCAAATCATCCAGGTGTTATTTATATAATTACCTGTATTATTATTATTATTATTATTATTATTATTATTATTAATATTAATATTATTATTGAGAAAATCCACTAGGATTTTGAGGCTACGCAAACCCGTGACCAAGACATTGCCAGCCTATATATCATTGTTATATATCACCCTGGTGGGACTCATGTGTATTATTATTATTATTATTATTATTATTATTATTATTATTATTATTATTATTATTGTTGTTATTAATCTTAGAATCTATAATCTTGTTTCTGTTGTCGTTGCTTTTGAGTCTGTTGTTATCGTTTTGTTTTTATTTTCATGACTTGTTTTTTGCTTTTATGACTTTTGTTTTTGCTTTCATAAATTTTGTTTTTGCTTTTATGACTTTTGTTTTTGCTTTTATGACTTGTTTGTTCTCGTGGTTTTCGTTACTGTTTTTCAGTATTAATTTATTTTTTTGTAATTGATGCTTTGGTGTTTATTATTGTTCATGTTATCATTACTTTAATCAAATATTCTTATATTTGAATAAGAATATGAAATCTACAAAACCGTGAGAGACAGTTTAGTAGATTGACGTATCGAGACAGTACACGTGTGCTGATACATGTATAGAGACCATACAAGTTTACCACAATGATACAGTCGGAGACACACACCTTTTTTTTGTATCATAAAGAATAGTTCAAATGAATGCCAACTTTTGCAAACATTGTTTTATTGTAAACATGGAGTCCGTTATATAAATCGTATGCATATGTAAACAAGTAAATATACTGCATGTTTTTGTTATCAGCTGCAATTTCACGCAAATGTCAATAGATACTTTGTTACCGGGAACAAAAAAAAAACTTTGATTCGCTTGTATTTGTTGTTTTGTTTGGGTGTTGAGTGTTACACACACATATGAAGCTGAACATAATTGAACGCAGCGTTAATAAGAACGGAAACCATTGGGCTATTTGAAGAGAGAGAGAGAGAGAGAGAGAGAGCGAGAGAGAGAGAGAGAGAGAGAGAGAGAGAGAGAGAGAGAGAGAGAGAGAGAGAGAGAGCGAGGAGAGAGAGAGAGAGAGAGAGAGAGAGAGAGAGAGAGAGAGAGAGAGAGAGAGCGAGAGAGAGAGAGAGAGAGAGAGAGAGAGAGAGAGAGAGATAGAGAGAGAGAGAGAGACAGAGAGAGAGAGAGAGAGAGAGTGAGAGAGAGAGAGAGAGAGAGGAGAGAGAGAGAGACGAGAGAGAGAGAGAGAGAGATAGAGAGAGAGAGAGAGAGAGAGAGAGAGAGAGAGAAGAGAGAGAGACGAGAGAGAGAGAGAGAGAGGAGGAGAGAGAGAGAGAGAGAGAGAGAGAGAGAGGAGAGAGAGAGAGAGAGAGAGAGAGAGAGAGAGAGAGAGAGAGAGAGAGAGAGAGAGAGAGAGAGAGAGAGAGAGAGAGAGAGAGAGAGAGCTCCCACCATCAATAACAGCACCATTGGGTAAAGAGGAGAAAGTTACACAAGAGGTACTATAAAAGAATAATTAGTTAATTAATCTTCTTGCCACCCCACAACAGCTCGACAATTGCATTACGACAATTAACATCCGTGTGTTTGTTTCATTGCCACGTTCCTTCCCTGTAATCTCCAGCCAATCACATGCTAAAGCAGCCTATGAAATCCTCTTACAAAAATATACAGTTCTTCCTCCAGTCTACAATCCTATTGCAACATCTACAATTTTATTGCAACGTCTACAATCCAATCGCCTCATTCATAAGACCTTGACAATTACAGTACTATTGTTCACTTATTTTCGTAATATAACTTTCATTTACAAGCGTTTTAGAAGATTTGAATTCATTTTCTTGTGTGACTGAAGGATATATTTTTGTTTTTTATTTTATTTTGTGTTGATAATAAATGTTTCTAGATTATGAGATTTGTGGGAATTTAATTTTATTTAAAGAATTGTAATGGATTTTAAATTTAAAAATAGACTGTTATGCGAAATTCGCGACGTGTGAGTAATTGGTTTTGTCTTAATACCTTGGTTTGTTTTAATTCTCTCTCTCTCTCTCTCTCTCTCTCTCTCTCTCTCTCTCTCTCTCTCTCTCTCTCTCTCTCTCTCTCTCTCTCTCTCTCTCTCTCTCACTATTACTCTATTTATACACTCACACATACATACGCAGAATTCATCAGGGTCAATATATAAATATATACATACCCACACATTGATACATACGCCAACCTACCCTCCCAAAATGATTAACTCTTCAGCTACTATGGACTGAACGTTCAAAATATGAACTGTTGTTCACCCAAACAATTGGGCACTAGTTTGCAATATTAACCTGAAGAAGGAATTATCAAGGGAAAGTGCCATGCCATTACGGCTATATAGCACTTGGAAGGTGTCAGGAGATGGATTTGGGATGAGACGGAGGAGGGGGTGGAGGAATGGTGCCCAACCACTTGGACGGTCGGGGATTGAACACCGACCTGCATGAAGCGAGACCGTCGCTCTACCGTCCAGCCCATGTGGGTTGGGCATTAACCTGAAGAGCATAACAAAATGTGAAACAGGCTAATTTTAACCAAACTTGTTTAGGCTTAATTACTCAATCTTCTAATTTAGTACATATATATGTAATATACTCGGAGTAAGAATTTTTTTATATAACTCTGTATATTTACCAAATGAATAAATATGCCTTCACATATGAATACATATATACATAATACATAGAAACGTGGATTATTTTTTTTAATGCTTCACTGTATATTTTGTAGTATCATCCAAGGCAGTTTTAGGTCTTAATAATTGTCTGACTGCCAGGCTGACCTGTATGCTGGCCACCATTCGTACAGTCCTGTACAACACTAGTGTACGCTGTCGGGTCACAACCATGGGACCCGGGTTCAGTTCCCAGGCTGGGCAGAAACGGTCGGGCACGTTGCCTTTCACCTGATGCACGTGTTCACCTGCATAATACATTACCATGGTACTCACTATATAATACTTTACCAAGGTACTCTATATAATACATTACCATGGTTCCTACTGTAGAATACATTACCATAGTTCTACTGTATAATACATTACCATGTTTCTCATTGTATAATACATTACTGTGATTCCCACTGTATATACATTCATATACATATAATTTGATAGAAAATGTATAATATAGCATTTACATTTTAAACATTTGTATTATAAATTAAGTATATTTAAAATAACAGGCGCAAATTTTTGAGTTTTATTGAGCGGGAAAGTGCTGGATGGGTTATTTCATTTCCGGTGCTGGTAGGCCTAAATAATTTCAGTTCCTGTTTTGGTAGATCTAAGTCGCTTAACTTCCGGTGCTAGTAGGCCTATGTAATTCCAAATGCAGTGCTGGTAGACCTAAGTCTTTAGTCTCCATGGTGTAGTGGTAAGACACTCGCCTGGCGTTCCGCGAGCGCTTTGTCATGGGTTCGTATCCTGGCCGGGGAGGATTTACTGGACGCAAATCCTTAACTGTACCTGTTTAACTCAACAGTAAAATGGGTACTTGGTTGTAAAAACAATTCTTCGCGGGGGTCGTATTCCAGGGAACATAGGATTAAGGACTTGCCCGAAACGCTACGCGTACTAGTGGCTGTACAAGAATTTAACAACTCTTGTATATATCTAAAAAAATTGTAATATGACTCTCAATGTAGAATATACCAAGAATATTAACTTGCGGTGGAGGTAGTAGGTCTAAGTAATTTAACTTCCGGTGATGGTAGATCTAGGTAATTTCAAATGCAGTGCTGGTAGACCTAAGTAACTTATCTTCCGATGCTGCTAGGCCTAAGTAATTTAACTTCTAGTGCTGGTAGCCCTAATTAATTTAACTTCTTGAGGTGGTAGGCTTAATTAATTTCAAAAGCAGTATTGGAAAACCTTAGTAATTTTATTTCCGGTTGTTAGACTTAAGTAACTTAACTTCCGATGCTGGTTGACCTAATTAATTTCAATTCCGGTGATGATAGGCCTACATAATTACTGAACGCCTTTAAACTTAC